TTGTGATTTTATTTGTAATATACAGTAATTTTCTTTGATGAAAATGTAAGAAAACGTAGTATCTATCGTTACAGCAACAAACATGTAAACTTTGTTTAATAAAATAGCACTGTACATACCTTCGTTTGTTGTAGTTGGTGGCAGAAAAGTGGAGATGTACGAACCTTAATGCTTAGAAGGGGAATCCCCTCCAAAAAATAACGGGTAGCACTTCATTGGAAGATTCTTCCAGTCGAAGTCTCTTTCGGTAAAAAAAAACCCACCAGTGGCTAAGTGGTCTTCGTACCTTGAACACGGGGGAATTCGTTCGTGGGTTCGCATCTCGTTCAAACGGGCTGGCCACGTGGAGTTTTCCGGGTTTTCTCCACGTCTGTAATACCTAAATAGGGACCAGTTTCCGTTAAAAACACCTCCCAGAAGGCATTCCCCTAGGCAGATCGCCTAAGTGTTGCGTTGCCATAACTTAACAAACAAACAAACTCTTTCCGTAAGGAACAAGAAATTGATCTAAAGTTGATTGTCTTACTCTTTTAAGCAAAATCGTTCTCAAATGATTTTGCTTAAAAATCATTTGAGAATGAAACTTTTGTAAAAAAAAAAACTTTTGAGAACAAAACTTTTGTAAAAAAAAAACCCACCAGTGGCTAAGTGGTCTTCGTACCTTGAACACGGGGCAATACTATGTAAAAATTTTTTATTAATAACTGAAACCTTAGAATTTTAGATTTATGAATACATCCAATATGAGTAATTTTTAAAGATTGGGTGGATAAATGTTGGACTTGTGAAAGTGTTGTTGTTGTTGCAGCAGCAGTAGTAGTGTTATAACTAAAATATGAATTATAAATTAAAAAGTAGTATTAGTTATAGGTAAGTATATTATAGTCGTTATGAAAATATATCAATTATCAAATTTAAATTTGTTATCAGTTTTGCTAACAGTTTTAACAGATGGTATGTTCCTCACTAACCATAAAGAGTTGGTATGTGATTTTAGACCATCAGAAATTATATTGGACTTTTTCACCCAGATCTATTTGAAATAAGAGTTTGACTATTCTTATTTCTATTTATTAGTATCTGGTTTTGCAAGTCCATACAAATTATTTAATATAATATTTTATGAATTCAATCTTTATACATTTTCATATAACTGAAAAATTTATATCAATTGAGTAGAATTAGAACAAAAATTTTTTTGTAAATTTAAGATGTCAAAATTTTACAAATCTAGACATTTATAATTAACTTTTTTCTTGTTGGGCTACAATTTGAAAAAATTGTAAATCTGTAAATTTTAACTGTCGTCTGTCCATCTGTGTCTTTCCTTAATCTTGAGAACAGAGTTAGATAGATGAAATCCAAGACCAGATATGGAAACTTTGGGCAGGAGGTCCCGATTAACTATATATGAACTTCTGATGCAAACTGGAAGTCATGTTTTTTCAATTAAAAAAATTTTCTTCTGAAAGGTTAGATAGATGACCAGTATGACTTTATTGTTAAAGCAAAATTATGATGTACGGGGACAAGCCACTACTAATTTGGAGTGGAGAGCATATATTTTAAATGAAATAAATTAAAAATATGATTAAAAATTGCAGCCTGGCATTGTGACGATGTCACAATAAATAATTGCTCATTTTATTATAAATATATTCATATTACAGTAATAATTCANTATCAAAAAAATATAGTTCTGGCATAAACAATGTTAAATTTTAACTGACTTAATTTTGTGAACACATCTTTTTTATTTATATGGGTATCTTAAGGTCTGTTTTTGCGCTAATGTTGCTAATGCACCATTTGAGCAAAAAAAAATTGTTAAGGAAAAATTTTCTGTTAGCGAACCCTTTGCTAAATATTTCGAATATCACCACTGTACATAACAGCCAGGAAAGTAAAATACTGAAAAAAAAATACAACTCATTAAATTAATTAAAATCTTTTAACAAATTATTTGAGAAAAGATGCAAATTATATTAATTTCAAGAAAAAATATTTGGTTAACATTAATATTATTGAATCATGTTTGCAACCTCCAGCATTTATTATCCACCTCCATAGAATTAGTTCTACTGTTTACAATTATTATTGCTGAATTTATTTTATAAAGGATTGCAAATTTACTTGTAATGCATAAAGTTCAGAGAAATGTAAACATATTTGTACATTATCATCATTTGCTTGTAAGAGATAATATCTCAATATCAACTGTCGAAATATCTCAAATGTTCCATAATTACTGCACAAAAGCTCAGAAATACTGTTAAGTTGTATATTTGTTTAAGAATTAAAAAATGTGAATTGTTTTAGCATTACTGTTGACAATTAATAAATTTTTATGATAGAGAATGCAGAGGTTCTGCTATATAGTGCCAAAATTGCCACTTGGCAATATTTTTATTAATTAAAGTGGTGAGTAAAATATAATATTGACAGTAAAAACTCTAGTCTGTTTATTTCAGCATTCAGCTTAAAATTGAATCACAAAGCATGATTCAGGAAAAATAATAAAATGTCGACTTCCTGTGCAATGACCACACACCTAGTGATATCATGATGTCACGTGGAAAGTTTGGACAGGAAAGCAGGAAGTGAAATTGAGAACCAATGGCAGTTTCCATGCAATGGCACCCAGCATTTCCAGATTGGAGATTTTTTATTGACTGAGGAAATTTGGGAAATTTTTCACTTTGATCTTTTTTAGTAGACTAAAGCATAAAAATTTTGATATGACAGAACATGTGAAATACTGTTTAAGCATTGTGATCAAATGTGTTGTTTAGAATTATTCAATAAATTATTCTTATTTCTAAATGACAGCTTAATTAATGTGTTGCTTTTGCTTTCCAGATGCCAAACTGATAAGGCTACCAGCACTTACATTAATTAGTAATTATTTATTTATTGTACAATTAAGAAAATGTCCATGGACAATTGATTTCCACCCCCACCCCCACTCCACCTCATTTTAACAATTATACCCACATTAAAATCTATACAAATATTTCAACAATAATTATGATAAAACAAAAAAAAAATTAAAATATGTACAAAAGTTATAAAAATAACATATACATAACTAGTTACAGTAGAGCGTCAATTTTCCGAAAGTCAATCATCCAAAACGTCAATCATCTGAAAGAATTCCAGTCGGCAAATTAAAATTTTCGCCAGTGCTGTGGCGCTTCAATCTTTGGCTATGTCTTGGGCTACTCAAATATTTTACGTTTTTGATACTAAATTAACATCTGAAGTATAATTTTTTTATTATTTTTATATTTTTCAATATATTTATTTAGTTTGTACAAAATAAAAAAATAATTTTTAACGATACAATAGTC